AGCGACGTACTCAATGGCCTTGGCTAGTGCTTGTCATGATCCAAGACAATTCCACGGACACGATTTGATTGGTAAAAGCTATAAAAAAAAAATGTCAATATTTAAACAAAAATTGTAATCGATTCCAATAATGGTATCGTCGAATTCAAATGTCGTGTTAATTCAACGGTTTAATTTACAGGTTCGTTGCTACAACACGAAACTATATCCGATTTGGATTTCTCGTACAGCTCCCTGGTGGCGTGTGAATCGGGTACGCACGTCAGAAAAAGACACATTAGAAGGCTAATGGAGATAGCCAACACTAAGCACACAGTGGGTCAGTTACAATACAATAGATTAGAAAAACAATAACTATAATGCCTTTTGTTCAAAGGTCTAATTATCGTATACTATAAGTCCATAGAATAATAATAGAAGTGTGCATTTAACAATATTTAGCAAAAACAATACAACATATAGGTACATAGAATTTGGTATTTAATCAATAATTGTTACACCTAAATGAATCACCTTTAGGTTATAGTAATTAGTGTAACACAATCATAGACGATTAGTAAGAATAAACAAGTACAAGTATAATAATAGTACAACACAAGTCACAACCAACAAGCATACATAAATTAATTAATTTTTACAAAAATAAGGTATAAATCAAAATACAAAAAGATTAAAAATGACGATTGTTTAAAATAAATGTTTCAATCCCAATGCAGTAATGTCTAATAGGTTATTATTCATATCATAAGAATTTTATATTTATGTTAGTTCTTATTTAATAATTATACTTCACACTGTAGGTATATTAATTTCATCACTGTAAAATGTAAATTAATTACCGTTATTGTAACTCAATCCGGTATAGTAATAAACTAATATCTATCTATAACATGCGTTTTTGCTAAACATTTTGTGAAATGAACACTTCATAATTGATATTATATTAATATTATTATTATGAATTTTAATAGACCGGCTATAATATGTTTACTAAACAAACGAATAAAGTATTTTATCTTTATTTTCAGATTCGTTGAGTGTGGCCATATTAGCGCTCCAGTGCGTGGAACACGATCATCGCAACCGGAACGTAAAACCTTTACTTAAGAAACCATTAGCGACATTGATAGCGCTTCAACAGCCGGACGGAGGATTTGGTAGTCTTCACACGACTGCCCTTGCAATCCGAGTGGGTACCATAAATCATAATTCATAATCCATACATTTCACCATTCTAGAGGTAGATACTCCATTGTGTGTGTGTGTGTGTGGAGGAGAGTGCTAAAATGAATAAAAAAAAAATGTATCTTTCACAAAATATGTTCCTAGGAGTTGATATCTGGAGAACTGCACATTTATTATATTAGTCACCATCGAGTTGCCTA